CCAGAATCTGAAGCTCTACTACGGACGAAAAGAGTTCACAAACTTCGCGGTTTAGATCAAAAAAAAAAAAAAAAAACGGTATAACGACCCTGGGGTTAGCGGCCAATGGGCGGCGGGTCGTCGCGTGTTTATTTTTATTACATGCCGGACTTCCTGTGCCACCCACTCTGATAGCGACCAATTCCACACATGCTGGTCATTCTACCGTTTTTTTTGGGGAGGGGTCATTGTACTGTATTTAGGCTGAAAATTCGATCGGGTACAGGCGATTGCATGTGAGTCTGTACATTGTCAGCCGCAGGTCCTCCTTCCTCCACGCAACGAATTCCAACCGACGCCCTCAGCCTCAAGAGCCATGGCGCGTTTCTTAACCCCTACAGCCATCGCACGGTGTACAGAAGTGGATCCATGGTGGATCCATGCCGGTCGTGATATCCACCCCACCCCTGCACGGCTGTAGAGTCCTTCAACTCACACACACACAACACACACAATTGACAGAGAAAAAGAAAAAAAAAAAAAAACTTGGCACATACAAGGCATCTGCCACACAGGCAGTAGTCGCACACTCCGCTCTCATCCAGCACAACTGCTTACCCAACGGTTTCTCCAACTGCTTACCCAACGGTTTCTCCACGGGTCACCACAGTCCGGTATTACCCGATTGAAGTACAGTTTGCACTTTATATGCCATAGGACCTCCTCGAGTCCTCCGTGCCCGCAACGGATTCGAACCGGCGCTCTCAGTCTCTCAAGAGTCAAATCTATTAACCCCTTCAGCCATGGCAGGGTCTACAAAAGTCGATCCACGCTGGTCCTTATATCCACCCCCCCCCCCCCCCCCCCCCCCCCCCCCCCCCCCGCATGGTTGTAGTGTCCATCTCTCTCTCTCTCTCTCTCTCTCTCACACACACACACACACACACACACACATGCATTGCTGTAGCGTCCTTCACACACACACACACACACACACACACACACACACACACACACACACACACAAAGGCATCTACCACATAGTCGCACTCCCATCCAGCACAAGTGCTTTTCCAACGGTTTAATCCAAGGGTCACCACATCCGGGTATGATTTCCGGGCTGGTTAGCTGGTGAGAGTACGGACTGTACATTACGCGAAACGGATTGGAACCGGCGCCCTCAGCCTCAAGAGCCGAGTTTATTATATTTATATGTGAGCCAGCATCACCTGCTGAACTTGCCCCATAGGGGCAATCGACAGCTGAGCTTTCTCTCATTGAAGTCTACTATCTTCCCCCGAACATAGAGCACCCTGATATAATGAATTTATAGAAGCTATATTTCTGGTCAGGTACAGCCAAAATGGGGGGTGCGTTGTGCTCGCGGGAAGACGGTAGTCCTTGCCGGCCTGCCTGCTGGAGTGCTGGAGTGCTGGAGCGCTGTGCCTGCCATTTCGCTTGAGTACATGCCTCTGCTGTTACCTGGTCGCCCATTGCTCTACCCACTGAGTCGCCCTGAGTGCCCAAGTACAGAGTAGAGGTGTTGCCACTGTTGGGACGTCGCTGGAATTTTTTTTTTTTTTTTTTTTTTTTTTTTCCCAAACCACTTGTATTGCTCAATCAAATGTCGAGGCCGGGGACCTCACAATTCCACCCGGTGTTATCCCGGCAGCATCAGCCGGTTTAGCTTAACTCATCACGTGAAAAGCACTTACCAAACCATCTCCCTTAAAGATCTCACCCCCACCGACTCCACTACTACCCAGCCCCCTTGCCTATCACCTAATAGACCCCCCAGTAACCCACTCCCTACCCTAACCTACCCCTAGGCTATACTAAGACCATGTCTAACTCGGCCTGAAACCGGCCTACCACGGCCGGTGGAACCTGGTTCCTAGATATGCCACTCATACCAGAATCACTGTCTACTGCGACCGAACAGTATCTCTCACAACCGAGTGCCCAGGTTGTCCCCCTACACTACTCCTACCCTACCGTCACATGCCCCCTCTCTTCTATTCTAGCCCTCCAACCACGGGGAGATACGCAGCTTGTCTCCCTCTATCATGGCCAATGCTCCCGGTCTCGCCCAAGTTTTCTCAAACCAACGTTTCCCCGCCAAGCCCCCCCCTTGCAATACCTTTCTCCTCCAATCCGCTCTGATCTCCAATTTCAGCAGTGTCCTGAACAACCTCTCTGCCTGTTGTTCTGAGAGCTCCCTGGTCTGGAACCTCCACCCATTCCTGTCCAGCCAGATAACCCACATCATCACTGCCCTGGTGACCTGCGCCATATAGCCCCAGCCTGAGTCTCTCGATTCCCCTTGAGCTAGGAAGCCTTGAAGAACCCACGCCACGTCCTGCACAAACTTCGTGCCCGACGTGCCCGACATCTTCTCCCAATGTGCAAACCACCACCTCCACCATTTCCTGGACCGTGGGCAGTCCCACCACATGTGGGTCATTGACTCAACCGGCCAGGAACATCTGTCACATCCCATCCGAACTTGTACTCTCCTTTGGTTTAGCCACCTGGACTTAGGGACTGTCAGGTGTGACTGAAGCCAAAGGAGAGAGGCAATCTTTTGGGACGGTATATCCGCCAGTTGCTTCCACAGCCTCACCAATTGTTCTTCTGTGGGAATTGGCACTGATGGTTGGGAGAGCTCCCATCTGGGGATCAATCTACTGAGTGTTTTCTCCCGCTTCCTTCGATGCCGGACTGCCTTCACCGCTTCCAGCTTACTGAGGTCCTTTACCACTTGCCCTCCTGATTCCCAACCCCACATCAAGGGATCTATCCTCAGGCTGCCCGTGGGAGTACCACCCGCTACGATGCTGAACACTGGCCGAGTATGCCTATTGGGGGAAGTGCTGCTACGCACTCTGATCTCTTGGAGGCTATTCAGTCCTCTACGCTCCATGGTCCCTGTCTGTCGGATCGTCATCGAGAGTGGCTCCGCCCTGCTAAACTCTTCCAGGGAGCACTTACCATTCCCTTCCTCTCCCCAATTCTGCAATCTGAAGAACTTCCCTTCCTCCTCTCCCTGCGTCCCTCGGAACCATGTGCCCGGGGGGTTTATCCCTTCCGGACCCAGCAACCTTATCCAACCAACTGGATTCGCCTGTTTTATCATCTGAATTCGCTCTGTTTGGGCAGAAAGCCTACCCAATTTGTCTCTCAGCTGCCCTGAAGGACGCCACTGGTTGGTAGAGTCATCCCATATGTCGCCCACAGTCGCCACCCCTCTTTTAATCCACTTCTGGCTGAAAGATCCTGGAGTGGCAGCAGCTGAAAACACTGACCCGTCGGGGCCCTCTATCAGGTGGTTCTCGAACAAAGGTTGTGCTTTTACTTCATCCTTGGAGGACGGTTGTTCCCTGAAATTCGGTTTGACTTGTCTCCAAGCCTGCAGCACATTGCTCCAGAACGGTGACTTCATGCGCTTGTTGAGAAAGGAGTCTATCATCACCGTCACCCACACATCCGAAGGACGACTCAGGGCCCACTCCCGCATCAGTATGTACTCTGCCAGCAGACACCAATCAGGTGGGTCGTGGGCTTCCGCCACCTTGACTAACCAGTTCGCCAGCAGGGTTAGATTCTGCGCTCTTGGGTCTGTTATAGCCAAGCCTCCATCTTCTCTTGGGGCGCAGACAATCTCCCAGGCCACTTTCGCAATATACCCCTGAACCTCTTCTGCTCCCGGCTTCCAGAGAAACCGTCTTGCCACCGCCCTGATCGCCTTCAGGGTTGCCTCTGATAGCTTGATGGTTCGCAGGACAAACCACAACAGGGAGAAGGCTGAGACTGTGATGACAAGTCCCCTGCCCATCAACGATAGATGGGGAGCCCTCCCCCAGCTCTTAATACGTGTATACACCTTTTCTCTAAGGATCAGTTCCTGCGAAGCGGCGGAGTCTCCCAACGCTACCATAACCCCCAGGAACCTCTGCGCCTCCCCCTTGGGCACTCTCTGCATACCCCACTGGACCTGCAGCCTATACTCCTCTAGAAGAAAAACAGCAGATTTATTCCAATTAATAGCTGCTTCTGAGAGATCTCCGTAGCACTGGAGGCAACACTTCAAGGCCTCCAGGGAGTCTGCCGAGTTCGCAGAGAGCACAAAAAGGTCGTCCGCCAGAGCCTTCACTCGACATTCCCCTCCACCTGGCAGCTGCAGCCCTCTGATACCATGATTGACCCTAATTGCAGACAAAAGAGTTTCCAGCTGCAGCACGAACAACAGTGGGGCCAGCGGGCATCCTTGGCGCAAAGACCGGGATAGCTGGAACGGCTCAGAGATCACTCCGTTCATCTGAACAGTAGCCGTTGAGAAGGCATACAGCACCTTGACCCAGCGGCAGAACATGGAACCAAAGCCCAACACTTTCAAGGTCGTCATGACGAAGGTCCAGTTGACCCGATCATAGGCTTTTTCTAGATCAATCATCAGCGCCGCCACATCCAAATTCTCCTCCTCGATAATTTTCAGCGATTCGATGGCCGTCAAGATATTGTCAAAACTCGAACGGCCTCGAACAAAGGCTCCTTGGTCACTTCCCACCAGGCCGGGGAGAATAGGGCCCAGACGGCGAGCTAAGGTCTTTGCCAAGATCTTGTAAACCACGTTTACAAGGATATTGGCCTCCAATTCCTCACCTCGCTTCTGTCGCCCTTCTTGTACATCAAAGAGATCACTCCCTTGGTCATTGTTTTGCCTAGTGTGCCTCCCACCAAAATATCATTGCAGAGCTTAACCAGGTCTGCAACCAACGCCTGCCAACAGGTGTTGAAGAACTCTACCGGTAGGCCGTCATTGCTTGGGGCCTTACCCTTCGCCATAGACTTCAGCGTCTGTCTGAGTTCTTCTGCTGAGATTGGTATGTCGAGAAGCAGTCTGTCATGAACTGCTACTCTGACCTGCAAAGTATCCCAGAAGTCGCTCTCTTTGGTCAAATCCGTCTCCCAATCCCAATAGGTTTTCCTGGTCGCTAGGATATCCTTAAAATAGTCTGCTGCATACTCACACATCATCTCATTGGAGGTTGCCACTGGTTCTCCTAACCGGTGGGGATGCTGAAGTTCCCTCATCTGCACCATGCCCTGTCTTGGTAACAATCTTTTGAAGGCTTCCCTTGACAGCCTATCATTGTAGACAATCCCCGTCTCTTTCAGAATCACTTCTCATCTTTCCTGCTTCGCTACCTGCATCCGTTCCCATTCTTCTTGCCTTTTGTTCCGCTCCTCTGCCCACACCAAGTCCGAGATCGGGTGTAAGCCCATCCGTCTTTCTGCATCTTCCACCCTTTTCTGACACACTTCCTCTTGCTCATTTCTCAGAAAGGCCGCTATCGTGGAAAAGACCTCAAATTTCGCCGAAATGATTTGAAGACCTGCGTCCCACCAGTCCTGGTATTCTAGAAAGTTGTTCTTCGCCCCCTGCCAGTCCACCCAGAACACTTCCACCGACCGCCTCCAACCCTCATCTTCCAAGTTCAATATGTTTAATTTGAAGTACCCTGGGCCTCTCCTTTCCTGCTTCAAAACTTGCACTTCCAGTCTAAGAGGCTTGTGATCAGACATCCATGCACTCGATTCCTCCACGCATTGTGCCCCGTCCGAAAAAATTCCTTTCGTGAGGAAGAAGTCAAGACGACGCTTGGCTCCTGTTGCGTTCTGCGTGCTTGCAAACCAGGTAAAACTCGAATCATTCGGGTGCATCTCTCTGTAAATGTCCTGCAGTTCTCATGCTTCCTTCCAGCTCAGAAAGGCCTCTCTATCCTGCCTCATTCCCTCCACTGCCTCTGAATCGAGCCCTAGGATACTCACCAGATTCCAATCCCCACCAACTACCATATGCTCCTCTTGGGGCAGGCAGTAGGGAATTGCCTTCATGAAGTGCATTCGATCTCTAGGATCATTCGGAGCATACACCGTTGCTACCACAAAGCTCACCCCCTCACACTTCAGCTTGATCCACACCCACCTTCCCCATAAGTCCGCGTCATAATCTATCAACTCCGCCTCCAATCTTTTATGGACTAGAATTGCAGTCCCTCCTCTTGAGCCCCTGGCTGGGGACCGAAGTTGCAGTTCGTCTCACCAATCGCTGAGCTGCGTCAGTTTAGCCTCGGACAACTTTGTTTCTTGCAGCAGCATGATATCAACTGAGTGCTTATGGATCCAAACCTTTGGTTTTTTCCCCTTCCTCTTACCCCCCGAGTCCCCCAACCCCTTCACATTCCACGTCGCGAGTTTAAGCTTGACCATTGGAGCAATGAGAGCGTGGGGATCTTGGATACGCTCGGTCGTCACTCTGTCCTGGTTGGCATTCGCAGTCGCCGGAGATGTGGACTGCCATTTCTCTGCCAGGACTTCCTGCACGAAACCCAAGTCCAGGTTTTTGTCTAGGGGCATCCTCTCATTCAGGGTCTTCAGAAATTTTGCTGCCACGCCTGGCTCCACCAGGACATTTGACAACTCCGTGGAAGAATCCTCCAACAGCACGCGGAGCGGAATGCAAGTCAGACCCACTGATGGCAGACCAGCCCAATGCTGAGTCAGGATCCTCGTATCAATAAGCGGAATATAAAATTTGATCCTTTGGCCTGTCGGAGTGTCGACGGTGATTTTCGGCATGGCTTCTTCTGGAAAGAGCCTGAAACAGAAGCGATCTGCATACAACTGCCTTACTCTAGCTTCCACTAATTCTGGACTTGGAATCCCACTGAACATAATTGCTGGCGGAAACGTTTGTCCGTTTCGATGGATGAGACCTAAGATAAAAGCTTCATTCCCAAGGAGCGTGCAGACGAGTGGCAACAAAATTTTTTCTTTATGTTGCCGATCATCTCCTGTACGAGTAGGCACGCCATCCGGAATAATGAAACTCCGGATACTCTCCGTCCTGTCCTCTCTTTCGGAGGCTGCTGCCGGTTGGTGAGACGACGTGGGTTGAGCCTGCTCCTGCTGCCGCTCTCCCTGCCTATCTTCGGAGACCACTCTCTCTACCTCTCCCCCCCCTGGCTGTGCCGATGACGTCTCTTCACACGGTACCCCACGACTCAGCAGTCCCAACATCGGAACCTGATTAGAGTAAGGCAAGTATGGGTTAGGGGTCTGTATCCCCTGGTAAGTCGCCCCCCCCCCAGCCACCATAATGATATCCCCCCAGCTGTGCTTGATGCCACGCGGGGGGGTGTTGCAGTTGCCCTCCATAATAGACTCCTTGGGGTCCGTATTGGTTCCAGGCTGCCTATCCTCCTACCACACCTCCTCCCATTGCCATAACGTTCCCTGTACCTGCCCCAATACTTCCCCCTCCCAATCCCTGTCCTCCTGAACCGCCAACAGCTGAATTCTGCCCCTGATCTCTTCTGACGCTTAAGCTGGGTTGCTGTCCGCTTGCATTTCCACTCACGCCACCCACTCTGCTCAGTCTCTCCCCTCCATCCTGCACGCTTGCTACATCTCGAGCTGCATCCCTGATACCCCTCTGGTATACTACCTCCCCTTGATTGAAGTTTTGATTGAACCCTCGACCTCGACTTCGACCAGCCACTGCCCCTTGGAAATCCCTGCCCTCCACCTCCTCATCCGCTCTAGGACAACCATCCGACTCTGTGTGAAACCACCACCGACACCGGGTACACCAAGGAGTGTTTTTACAAACAAATTCCACATTATAGATCTCTCCATCCACCAGCTTCATAGGAAGGGTTGGCTCGAATCGCTCCTCCGCCTCTCTAGGCAGTTCAAACTTCAGGTTCATTAGCTTTGGACGAGAAGCATCCGGTTCTGGCGGATGCTGGAGAATGATGTTGCCCATCACCTGCTGCACCAGATCTGGAACGTGGAACATCGCTCTGAGTGGCCCTCTGAGGGCTGTAACCCAAAATTTAGTTTCGTCCTCCTGTTTTCTCCTTTCCTCCAATTCTGCTCTCGCCATCCATGGTTTGAACAGCAGTTTGTACTCAATTCCCCTAATCCCCACCACATCCTCCGCCTTCGCCACTAGCCATTGAGCAATCTCCCTTGACTTCGCGACATAGGACATTACGTTTGGACCCTCCCCATGCACCCTCCCTCTTTTGAAGCCGTGAGCAAATGTCCTCTGACCGGACCACCCATTCTCGTATGCCCGAATTAAATCCTCACGTACCCTGGCCGGAAGGTCACGCGCGGCACCTTGAAAAATGATCGTGACGGTGCGTTCCTTGAGCCAGGCTGTCGTGAGGCGATCAAGCTGAGGGTTGACTTTGAAGACCTGAATTCTGTTTTCGATAACAAACTCCCCATGTTTAAGTCTTTCCGGAAAGACTCCGTCGTCATAACACTTGGCAATCAGCAGTCTGATTCAGTCCTCCTCGGACATCTGGACCTCTGCTCCAGGTGGGATCCTCTCATTCCCTTCTTCCCCTGGAACGACCATTCTCTCCCCTTGCTCAGCCATACCGAACTGTCCTATCCTCCCGTACCACGTCAACGGCGGGCGCCGGCCGGCGCACGCCCACTTCGAAAGACCGCGAGCACACCCCTACACCTGAATTACTTTAACACGTGATGGTAAAACAACTAACCTGGAGCCGGTCCGTGCGCCATCAAGTCTCCCTCCCCTTCGGGTTAGTTGCTTGGAAAGTACCGAGCAAGACGACTGTGCTAACCGCGATGGCATCATGGCGGTGCTGAATCGCGGTGGACCGGACCGGCGTTTCCGCAGGTAGCGCTAACTTGGAGCGCTCAAGCGCCGTCCGCCGCGCCCCCCACTGTCCGCTGGAATTTTTTTCAGATAGACAAGTATTTCGTTAAAAAACAATATATTTCGTTAAAAAAAGAAAAGCGACAACTGCGCCTGTGACCCCTGGGGCCTCGTCCCACTACGTCCGATTTACGCTGTCACAGACGGCCGCACGTGCTCCGCCGTTTTCTACCACGTGCGGCCGTCTGTGACATGCTTGAGTCGTTGATCATTTCGTGCATCCACTGCTACGGTAGCTATTTTTGTTCGCAGAAATTGAGAATATTGAGATTTCCGTGGAAGACTGCGAACAGGCCGGCGGGAAGGTCGCATGCAGATGTACCGGGTTGGTGGAAGTGTGGATGCATAGGGTTGGCCTTGTTTTCTTTGCATTTCTGAAAATCAAAAAAAGGATTCTTTATATGTTTTTTTCAAAAGAAACGGCCGCCACACTAGTGGGTCGAGGCCCCTGCACAGTTCAGAATTCGCAGAAATAACAGTCCACTGCATGCTTGGGCGAAGACCAATTAGGAACTGCCAGAAAAAAAACAGTAAAAATCATACCGGTTCAGTCCACTGCATGCTTGGGCGAAGACCAATTAGGAACTGCCAGAAAAAAAACAGTAAAAATCATACCGGTTCAAACATTGGCAACAAGGGGAGGTGGTAGGAGCCGTACTGCTCTCTTTCCCACGGCCTGGCCTGGGCGCAGTTACCTGTTGCTGGCCTTTCCATTTTTAACTCGTTTCCGCAGGGGTGTGGCCTAGGCATCTCGGCCGTGGGCCAGCCATGGGTGTGGCCAAGACATCTCGCCCATGGCCCAGCCACAGGTGTGGCCTAGACAGCTCAGCCGTGGCATAAGCAGGCACGGAAAAAAAGAAAAAAGAACCTGCAGGCGCAGAAAAAAAAAGAGGTCGCAGGCGCAAAAAAAAAAAAAAAAGTTGCAAGCGCGAAGGAAAAAAAAAGTCGCAGGCGTGGGGAAAAAAAAAAAAAAAAGACAGGCCGCCTGATTTTGCCCCTTCGCCATGTGGGGTTGGGGGGCGGGTAGGGGGAGGTGCAGAGACTGGCCATTGCTCGGCGCTAGCACCGCCTATTTCCCCCATCGGCAATGCCTGCCCACCCCTCGTCACCATGATGAGGGACTGGTACAGCCTTGCTCTCGCACCACAGCTGTGGTGCAAACCTACCCCGTGGGCTGGGGAGAGATCCAGGTTGGTTGGTGTTCCCCAGTACTATAAATAGACTAGTGAGAGGATGAGATAGATGGGTACTACCAGGAAAAAGACAAAGAATATGAGATAGATGACAGAAGAATATAGCTTACTTCAAAAAAAAAAAAAAAAAAAAAAAACTTCCAACGTCTAGAAGTGCACAAAGCTGTTCTGTTTTTGCAGTTTCTAACTGCCCTCGGCCCAGAACCGCAGTGCCCTGTTCTTCCTGCCAATTGGGAACTTGTTTTTTTTTTTTTTTTTTGGGAAATGTAAGGAATCCATTATCATGAAACATGAGGCTGGGAATTCCTCACAAACAACCCGCCAATTGGGAACTGTGCAGCAGTCACCCGCGCAGTTATTTAAACAAAAAACAAAAAAAAAACCAACAACCTGGATTTTTTTGAGATGTGGATTGTACGTGGGACTTTTTTTTTTTTTCAAGATTTTAGATAGATAGATTTTTTTATTTTTATTTTTTAAAGATAGATAGATTTGGTACGAGGTAAGTTTTTCTTGGTACGAGGTAAGTTTCTTGTTCGAAGGGGAAAAAAAAAAAAAAAAAAAAAAAAGGAAAAAATGGTTAGTTTCTTAGTAGAGCTGGTGCCATGTACTAAGAGTACTGGGCATGAAAATTGTGTGTGCCTCTGCTAAGAGGGTGGGGCTCTGCGCTCCAGGTGGGGCATGACAACTTGGCTGCCCCTGATTTGGTAACTGTTGATGTCATCTTGCCTTGGGCACTGAGCCCCGAGAATAAAAGCGCAACTTCCGCAAAAGCCTTCAAACAAACAAACAAACAAA